TGTATATTTGTGTCAAAACATTTGAAATATATGAAATAAATGTATATCCCACAGTCCCACAGCACGCTGAAAAATCTGCAAAAAACTGCAGTTTTTCTGCAAAGAATCTGCAGAGAAACTGCAAAGATTTTATTGCAGATCTGCATCAGATCTTTGGCCAAATCTTGGCACATCTGCATTGCAGAAAAACTGCAGATTGCAGAATCTTTACAGATTCTGCACAGATTCTGCAAAGATTTTTGCAGACCGAGTTTTTTTGGGTATCTCTTACAATCGCATATTCATTCTCTACCCCCATAATATAAGACCACTACCGATTATATGACTTGAAAACCAAGTAGAAGACCATGGTATCGTAAGCCGCTGGTATTATGTTCGCCAAAAAAAGTCGAAAAACACCCATTTAGCAAAGGCTGCTGTATGGCTCTATCGAGTCCCTCTACTTCATTTGCCATTTGATTTAATAAATGATTATTTCAATAAGGTTCATTCTTTCCAAATGCAATTTCAAAAATCCAGCTCTCTAGCTTTCACTATTCAAAAGTTATTCAAAAAAGAACCGTGGATTATTCTTTTTTAAACGGAAAATCACTTGATGTATGGTAGTTTTTAGAGTTTTACCATACATCATTTTTAAGGGTTTATTAATTGGAGAGTGGAATGAGTAAAACTCCAACAGAAGTACTGGGAGTTCGAGTTCATAACCTTCATTTCGTATAAAATTTCGTATGTTTTTCAAAAACGATCATGTCTGACGTAAATAAGATTAATTTTGGATCAAAAGAAAGAAATTATAGCTTTTTTCTGTACATATAAATTTATATGTGCCTTGTTACTACATAATATACATAAGTTGTGGTCTATAGAACTGACTTTTTTTGTTCAATTCATTCACATTCAATACAATTTAGTATACGTTTAAAAAAGTGATTTGATAATCTGGAAATTTCAAAATTTTCTTTGTCAGAATCCGGCATAAATGAGGTGTATGTGCATATACCAAACAGTGATGCTTTTTAAACGGTCTCGGCGAAATAGTATATAGTTAAAATTTTAATGTTATTACCAGTGAAATCAGGATTAAATAGCTGAAATGATTATGAGACTTTTATGCACAAAAGCTTTTGTGCCTTACGATTGAAGCAGACTTTGTTAAACGACTTTTCAAATTTTAAAAAGAGGCATAGTTTTGTCCGATTATATCATCTCTAGCTATTCTTATTCTTTAATTTATCATTTTAAAACTTAAAAAAGAGAGATGCAATATCCTAGAAATATACCGAAAAAGGTATAATCAAGTTGTTTGAAATAGGTTTTGGAAAATGTCTTCGAAATCCAGTTGAATTTTGAAGTACAAAACTTTTAATGAGAAAGAAAACTTTTTTTGAACGTAAAATGCAGTTTTATAGAATTTTTAAGAGCATAGTGGTGGTCAACATATTGAATATTTCCAACAATTTTCCACTCAATCTTTCCTAGAGAGACTTCAGATTTCTCATTGATAATAAGCCAACAATAGCAAAAAGATGATTATTATATGCGATGGGCGATCTATTAGCTGTAGTCGGTTTGCGTCATTTTACATTTTGTTTTTGTTATGTTAATCGGTTCTGTTTTCTCTGTAGAATTACGAACAAACAATTATTAGACGTATCGAAGGAGCACTGAACAATCATCTGACAGAATAAAAGCTGGTAAAGCGGTAGATCGTTTATTTTGAAGCCGGATGACGGACGAGAAGTAAGAAATGGATACGCGCAATCCAGTACGATAAGTGTGCGCCCGTAAGACTTAGATAAAGTTTAGTCGTCGCCTAAATTCTGAATGGCAATCGGATAAAACTAGTTAGAATGAAGAAATTCTTTGTCATGTTATAGCCTCTTGTGAATACGTTTGATACTGTAGCAATGATCATTTATTGCTGGAATAGAAACGCTAGAATTTAAAAAAACATTAATTAAAAGATAAGTAAGACAGATAAAGCGAACTACTGCTATCAGTATCACTGTTGATCGTTTGTAAATATTATATACTACATTTTTTTGTGAAGAAAAGAAAAGTTAGTTTTGTAGCTTTATCAAATGTACTTATTTCTGTGGACGGTTTATTATTTTCTCTTAAACACATGGTCATAGTTATAAATTTCTAATCGTTTGGTATTATTATACGTTCTGGTAACAGCAATAACCATTGTATTTTCACCCATTAAGCTTGCTGTATGAATCACTTTTCCATAAACAACATCAATATCAACAACTTGACCTTGTTTGTTTAATAATTTTAATGTGTGATAATTTTCTGCTTCTCTTGTTTCTCCAATCAGCCAATTATCTTTGAGAAGAAAGGAAAATAAATTTTCTGAAGTACTGAGAACATTAATACTGTGAATAATATTCATTAAATGATCTCGTAATTCCAAACGACGTTGCTTGTCTTTATCTGTTATGACAAAAGCTAGGTAGAACCTTGTCTGATTTCAATGTTAATGGATCAAGTGTAAATAATCCCGTCCGACATAGTATAAGAAATTGGTTTATTGATGATGAATAAGAAGTGGAGTATATTGCATCTGCATTGAATGGTACTTCTGTCTTATATGAACCTGTTTGGTCAAACAGATGAAGTTTGTATTTCTTAAGATGCACGTAAGGCTCACTAATGTATTCAGAATTCAGAATTTGTTCGCCAGATGCAGATAAATATTCTGACGCTGTATTAATGGTAGATTTTGGCATTTCTCTGAATATCGACAGACTGTTGAATAATGGTTTTTTCGATATAGGTGCCGGTAACGAAACTTGTACTGCTACTACTTCTCTAGTTATTGATTCATTTGGTTGTTGTTTGTGATCGTCCTCAACTTTTATTGTACGTTTTAAATCAACTGGCTGAAATTTAAGATGAATATTTGTTGATGTTGAATATTCAGTTTCCAATTGTTTCAACTGCTGAGCAAATCTTTTGATATCTTCTTCATAATAACTATCATTTTCCGAACATATACGCAGATCTTCACTCAGCTGGCCAAATACTTCACAGATTTTAATACGGTTATCATTAATTGCTTGTAGAAGCATTTTACGACCATTTTCGACTGTGTGTTCAATTTGTTCAGTCATTTCCACTTGCCATTCATTAAGCTGTTTAAATAGCTCATGATTAGCATCGTCGAGCATAGGTGAATTGAAATGTTGTCTCAACAGATCTCGATCAGTCAGTACACTTTGGTAATCATTGTTTAGCTTTTGTCTATGTTGAACAAAATGTTCGGTACAAAATTTCGATTTACATCCGTCACACAAAGCGATACCACTTTTTTTACATTCAGTATTAAACTGACATTTACTGGTTGACGCAGATGAAGCCATTTGTGGAGCACAGCTGAAATATAACATACTACTTGATATATATTTTTGACCTTATAGCTTTCGGCTTGTCCACGTAAAAGATCACTTTTTGGTCAGTCCGTTACGTTTTGAAATGATTCTGGCTCTACAACGAAATAACGTAATAGCCTGGCAATGTGTTATTTTGAAGAGTAAACTATCTTCTTTGATATGACAATCAAGCGAACTCGCTCATGAGAGTTTACCTGACTGTTATATCAAAGAAGACGATTTACTCCACAAAATAAGACTCTGTCCAGGCCATTACGTTATTTGGTTGCCGAGCTATACTTATTTCAAAATGTAACCAACTGACTTTTTTTGACTCGATTACGTGAACAAGCACCATCATATATATTTTCTCAGATCTTTTCTTTGAAACGTAAAACAAATATTTGAAGACGTCTTTTATTGCGATGGCTTGGTGATGTAAGAAGAAGGTTTTGTTTTATATTATTTCAAATAAATGTATAGAGTAGAATAATTTCTTTCTACAGAAAGAAAGAAGAAATAAAAGAACAATAACAATGTGGAGAAGCGGTAGTTCTGAGAATAGTTTATGTTAAGTGGCATTATTTTTTTTCTTAAAGAAAGAAAAGTCGTCGAAATACAATCATTAGCTAGAATAGAGGACATACGTAAAAAGGATATATTCTACAAATACGCCAGATAAGAAGTCATCAGCTTGTTCACAGCAACAACTCTTTAATTTTTTTCCCGCAAACGATAAATTTAAAAGTGCTTTAGTGCTTCTTTTTGTTTTTTTAAAGTGCGTTTTCCTTTGAAAAAACCAAAAAAAGATGCGCGCATGTAGAAAAACTAAAAGCTATTTCCCGGAAAAGCTTCGATGTACGACTTCATCTTAAATTTTACATATTGAAAAACGCTGTCCTATGCAGAGGTGCTTTGAAAAAACCAATTCTTTATAGCACACCCGTTATTAAAGGTTATTGCACAATTTTGTGTGTATAAACAGATCGGGTTTTATTGTCGAAAAGAACTTTTTTTGTTTGTAAATAAACGGGGGTCATAATTATCAGAAAAGATAGACTCTAACAAATTAGTATAGAAGTGGAAAACTGTAAGTAACAAATTTGATGGATGAAAAAACTAGATAACAGCATATATATAACATGTTCTAGATGGTAGAAAAATAGAATTTTTTCATACTACTCGTTTTGTATATCGTTCGGAACATTGATAATGGCGCCTGTCTCTGATCTCTGTTGAAGTGTGTAGGCGGCACATTTTCATCGATGTATAAACGTCTCCTGGAGATCACCTCTTGAGATAAACATCATCGGAAGGATAATTTTTTCTGACTTTTTTCTACTGTCTGACAAGATCTCAGCGCATAAATTTTTGCGTTGAAGTTTTAATTTAAATTTTAAAATTGATTTTCGTGGTCAGCATGAAAAACTGTATCTAGTGATGTGCCTTTCTACTTAATTAGATGGAAATTTCTTTTTGAATAGTCAACAATACCAGTTCTCAACAGTTCCAGTTAATAACTGGAAATGGTGCATACCTATTTGTTATGCAATGTTTTAAAAAAATTTCAATACCTGGACGAGGAACCCACGAATAATGCGAGTTCACTTCACAAAGAGTTTTATCGCGACCACCATGAGAAACCGAGTCATGGCATTCGCTTATTACATTGAAGAAAGATGCATAAATACAGACAGGTTTCTTTGTTTTGACACAAAATGCAGTATCAATACCTGCTATTTTCAACAATAAAAAATTTTGTTTCGCCCAAAAAACAAATTATGGAGAAAATGAACCAGATGTCTTACCTTTTTGTAACAATATGCTTGTACAATATCCTCATAAACTTTCTTCTTTATTACATTTTTTTCTCGAAATTTAACACTTAATGAATCTATATATTTATCAAGATCACTATAAATGAGTTTTTCGCTATCATTAGGTTGGACAATTGCTGTTGTCGTATTACACGCTGTCGTTTTTTTATATAGAACAAGTAACATGATCCTAATCGGTTCGCACATTCGATTTATACTAAGTAAACAATGGTCAACTATATCTAGATTATTTTTTTCTCGAGTTATTCAGTTTACATTTGTACATGAATCAAGCATATGATCAATTCTTTATACGTGGATTCGTCTACTATTCTTTTTATTTCTATTTTAGTTTCAATATCCAAAACGTATACAATACATCGTCACCCTTGACCACTATTTTCGCCTCTTTCCTTATTTCTATAAATACTCATTCGAAGTAAAGTGTACCCTACTACTTCGACAATCATGCCACCTTTAAGGAGCATTTCAAAATTCTTGCCGTTCTCTCTGCCGTTCTGCCGCGGCACGACGGATTTATTTTGATGACATTTCGATATATTATCGGTTTCTTTTGATGAATGGGTACGTATACATGAAATTTATTTTGGTACATAGATTTATTGAAATTCTCTTTACGATTTACGATAAATACATAAAGAGGAAAAAATATAATAATGTTCTTCTTATTTGTATATATAACGGATGCTTCAGAATAAATCGGTCACTTAGTATTTTGCTCATATCTCAGTGGAATTTTAGCCCCTGAGCTTTGTTATTTTTTCAAAAGATGCGCCGTGAAATTCTCTACAAAAAATATATTAAACAGTTTTCTATATACCGTAAAGATAAAAGAATATAGAAGAAATACTGCGAAGCTTCAATCTCGATTACTTTGCAACGCAAGAAAACAATTTAATACTTTTATTAAATTTTGTCCTTATTCGACTGCATTTTTTATTTAGTAATTCTTTATATTGATTACGGAGCATGTCAAAATTTAAATTATAATTTATTTTATTTTATATAATTTCGATTCCTTTGATTGTATTGTGAATACATACATCAGCATATATATACTTCCAATGTGTTCGTCTTTTTAACAGACATTTTTCTGTTTAAAGAATAGAATCAGAAAGGGACAAACTTTATATTTTCATCAAATGTTCATCTTGTATATATTCAGGGAGGAGAGTATCCACTGTAAACTTATTTCGTACTGCACACGCGATTGTGTACTGTCATCGAATATTCGATCCAACTAAATTTAGTTGCTATAAGCAAAGGGAAATCGATTGTTAGCTGCTTAAACTTCTTTATATTAATTCGGTCAGTCGATGAAATTACTCGTAAAATAACTGAATAAACTTGAATTAATTGTTTAAAATTACTTTGTTTAGGTACTGTCGAAACAATTGAATTTCTTACTTCGTACGAGAAAAACTTTCGTGACGAAAGTATCGTCCTTGACCACCGGTCGTACTAGTATCAGAACAACCAGTCGAATCGCACTGATCAAGACGAAGACCGGTACCTGATTTAATTTCGTTTAAAACAGTTTCGAGTGCCTTTTTAATTCTCTCTTTTGTCGCTTCGCCTCGTTCTGACCATAGCAAAAGATCGTCTCGTAAATGGTATATAATTTTTAAAATCCATTGTGTGCCATTAATATATTGATGCGTAATGGTTATGTAGTGTTGATCAGGATTTGATAGTGGTTTACTCGTGAGTCCCTGTCGAGTTTCATAGTCATTCTTCTTTTTAGCGATTTCGTCGTCGTCTTTAACCATTTGACAATACAAATCGAGCGTTTTTTCGACTGTACGATTAACTGGAAAAAAATCCGATTATTTAATTTTATCAACATCTTTCCATTCGTTAGGGTGCGTAGTACATAAAAGACAATCGGCTCCTCCTAACCCCGACTCTATTGTGCGCACTTTGAGATCTTTCATACTCGTTTCAATCGTTATTTTTAAATCATATTTCGTCTTATTATACTCGAATGTTGTTCCTTCTTGCTGTAAGTGCTTTCTCCTGGCTCAAATACGCCATTTACGAAATATAATAACTCTGTGGACTCTTTCTCAGCTATTAATGCCAAAGGTCGACACCAGTGCGAGCTATTCGATGACTCGTTCATCCATAATACTTCGCCAGTGGAAGCCTTAAGAGAGAGCGGAACAAATATTTTGCTAAATATATTAGCATTTTCCATCGGCGTATTTACTGATCTCGTGTCAAATAAATTCTTACAGTATCGATTGAACTATAACAGTAACGGTCAGTATGTAGCTGCGGCCTTTTACCGTTTCCAGTTGATTAAGCAAGGAAGTGCTACGAGAACAGCATTTTTTTAGACTCGGCAGAAGGAATTGTTCATAACAAAACTAACTTTGGCTCAAGGATAGAACTACTATCCATTTCAATGAACAGTGCACTCGGTTGTAAGTTAAATAACTCCAGCGCGAAAGCAGCTGGAGACTTGCGGTTTTCAGCATTCGAAAGAGTCATATTTTTTATATGGAAATGTCAAATCTGATTGGTCAAAGTTTTCCAAACAGGAGAATTCTTGATGAACATTTTAAAAGCAATATTCGGAAGACATTTATCGTTGGATTTAGAGTTTTGACATAACCATTCGATAGAGAAAATTATTCTCTTTCGATCTGTGCAAGACCGAGCCCGCTAGCATGTTTCGTCCAGGAGTTATAAGCATTTTCTCGAGAACCCCAAACGGCATTTTTAATAGTTTTCTGGGCTTTCCGACCCTTCATCAAATCGCCGAACAAAGTGTATATTGAGAATCAGCATGCAAAACTGCGTTGAGTGACATGTCTTTAATCTCCATTTGATGACTTTCATTTGTTTTCATTTTTGCCAGTAAATTATCATACCGCTCTGTGGATCATGGCATGTACTTGGTGTAAAAATGAAAGTAATCAAATGAAGATTAAAGACATGTCACTCGACGCAGTTTTAATTTTTGTGTCTCACGTAACATCACACGCATCCATTTTTTACGCGTTTTTTTGTAAAAACGAAAATTTTGCGAAGTAACGCAAGGAATTTCGTGGTTTTTGATGCATAAAGTATTATTATCTGTAATTATAGCCACAAAAGTCACACAGGCAAGCAACACAGCTCGCCCGGAGGCCAGTTTCCTTTAAGCTA